TTTTGAAAGTAAATTTAAAAGTAAAAATAAAGGAAAAATAAGTGCGGCGTAAAGTTTAAATTTTGAAAAAACTTAAAAAATAAAAACAAAAATAAAGAAATTAATTAACGTGTGATTAAGTTTAAATTTCAAAGAAAATTAAAAATTAAAAAAAAACAATTAAATTTTAGGTAATCTAAAGCAAAATCAGATGTTAAATTAAAAAGAAAAATTGTCAATTTTCAATAGAAGAAAGTTAAAAAATTAAATCAAGTAAAATAGTTCCATAGAAATAAACAAAAAAATAAAATTTGTTTTTTCTCGAAAATTAAAATATAACAGTAAATAATTACTAAACGTAAAAATATATTAAAAAATAAAAATTGCTCTTTGTAACTGAATATTCAAGAGGTTGGACTTTTTAAAGTATTACAATTGCTGAGTAATACCAGTTTCCCTCTTTGTGAGGATTCTCCGTCGGTTAGTGGGTCAAAAGCGACTGACTCACACTCGGTCCTAAATTTAAGAAATTCAATTCAACTTTCATGCGTGGGTCAAGAATGTGTTTCGGCTCATGATAATTCATAAGATCAACCAAATATTCCGCTATATACTTTCTAGTATTCTCAAAAAAGGAAACAACGCGAATTTTTTTATTTTAATTTATGAAAATTGTGTTAATTTCAAAAAATATTTTTTTGTTCACAGTCTCAGCATTTCTTATTAATTAAAATAGCATGTAAAAGAAAATAATCAAAAAATACAAAATAATAATAATAATAAATAATAATAAATAAAAAATAATAGTAATAATAATAATAAATAAACAAAATTAGGAGAAAAATATTTTACTAATAATAATTTATTATTTTAATTTTTTCTCGTATTTTTGTATTTTTCTCAATATTTTTTTGGTTTTTCATTAATTATTAAATTGCTTTAATTATTTGTTGATTAATTTGTTAATTTGTTTATTAAATTATTTGATTTACTTATTTATTCACTTCTTAGTTTGGTTATTTACTAATTTATTAAAACTTATTAGTTTACTTATTTACTAATTAATTAACTTATAAGTTTGCTTATTCACTACTAAATTAACTTTATAGTTTACTTATTTACTAATTAATTAACTTATTACTTTACTTATTTATTAATTGATTAACTTATTAATTTAATTATTTACTGAGTTATTAATTTATAATTTATTTATTTATAGCAGAACAACGGAATTTATTATTCTTTGACGTTACAATTGTTTTAGACCCGTTTTGCCTTTATTTACTCTCAACAAATAAATAAATTAAAAATAATAATTACAAATATAGGAATAAAAAAAATAAAAAAAATTACTATATTTCCGCATAAAATTGGAAAGTTTGAATTTTTTCAATTCCAATAATTTATAATTAATAAATCATTACTTTGGATTTTCAAGGAAATAAAAACATTTTTAATAAAGTAAAACGAGAATTTAATTAGATTGACATTTTTCATTTATATATATATAAATTACTGCCTTGAAAAAAATAAGAGCAAGGCTGTAATATGTTGTCAATCTAAATACGTAAAGATTTTATGATTTAAAAAAAACAACAATATTTATTAGAACTCACGTTGGCACTTATTGTCTTTTTTTTTTGTAAAAGTTATAATCATCTGATATGCTTCACTGATTATTATCATAGGAGAAATTGATATCGAGACCTGTTTTTTTTTCTTCTTCATAATTACTCATAATGTCTTGATTTTGTTTTTAATGAATAAAATAAAGGGAAAATAAGTCACTTATAAATAAGTGATTATTAATCACTCATTTTCCGAGTGAGAGAGATGCTGTAAACTAATTTCTGCTCTAGTGAATTTTGCCAGCGACAAATTATCATCCAAATATTTTATATCATAAATTATTGTTGAGAGAAAAATTATTTCTCTAAATTTAAAAAGGAATAATTTTAATTATTAATTATTAATTATTAATTATTAATTTAAAAATCGATTAATTTCGTTAATTTATTCGTCAATTTGTTTGACTATTTTTTATTTTTGAAATAATGGAAATTTTTGCATTAAAAATATTAAATAATTATTATCATTATTATATGTGTAATAATTAATATTACATTTTTTTTAATGCAAAAAATCCCATCGTTTTCGAAAATAGAAAATAGGAAGACACATTTTTGAAATTGAAAATTAATATTTTTTGTTTAAATATATTTATTTGTGCTTCTTACTGAATGTAAGAAAAAAGAAGACAAAGATGATTGACAAAATTGTAAGTGGAGCGCAGAAAGGATAACTGACAATCAAGTGTTCGGTGTAATTTAACACCATTCCAGATGAAGTTACTCAATTAAACCGGTACTGAGAAAGCTGACAACTATAGAGAAATGGAAGTTTTTCGTTTCAATTATCCCTTTTCAACTGTATTATTTATTTTATTTATAAAATTTTCCAAAGTTTCTTCAATTTCTATTTTCTTATTTTGTTTTTTTCTTTCTCACCCAATTTTATCACAAAGTTTTTTCTTTTTTTTTATTCCTCAATTCATCGATTTCCCTTCGAGTCTATTAGTTTATTTATTAACTTTTCAAAAAAAAATAAAAAGAAAATAAAGATTATATTGTTTATGAAAAATATTTCATGAATTTAAAAATTTTTGTTTTAATTCAGAAAAAAATGTATTTCTTATTTTTTTTCTTTCTTTGTTCTTTCTCTCTTTTTTTCCTCTTCCATTTCTCTTTCTTCTTTTTCTCTATTTTTTCATTTTTTTAGTCAATAAAAATATTTTCCGAGATAAAGAATTAAATTAAATTAAAAATTAAATTTTCAATTTCAAAAATTAAAATATAAAAATTTCTTTGTGAAAAATATTAATTTGTCGACAATTGCAACTAATTTCGGATAGAAATAAATTATCATATAAGATATGAAATAAGCCTGATTATTAGGTTCCGTTGAAGTTCATAGTTAGAGCCATATCGTGTCTGACCTACAACTTTATTTCCTTTCTCTCATAAAACATACTTTGCCCTTCGAGTATGAAATTCAAAGATGAATCTTCAGCCAATGCTTATCTTCAGAATTTTATTTTTTTTTTTAATAAAATTTATTATTTAATTGAAAAAAAGAAAATTAAGGAAACAATTTATATCGAGTTTTTGAAAAATTTATTTTCAATACTTTCGAGTATATTAGTTATAAAATTCAAGACAATCGACGATTCTCGAGCGCGAAAAGTAACGTTACATTACGTATGTGACTGACAAACATTTATTTAACTGTATCTTTTATTTAATTTCTCATTTTGTACTGTGAACTATTTTCAAAAATTGTGTAGTTAAAATTTTTAATTTAATTAGGAACTATATGAAAATTGAAAATTATTTAATTAAAAATTTTACTAAAATTAAAAAATTATAATCTAATAAATAATTATTTTATATTACAAATATAAATATAATTTAAAATTAGAATTATAATTACGATTAACAATTGTAATTCAGAATTATATTTATGTTTTACAACGATAATTAATAATTAAAATAATTAACAATTGCACTAAACAATTAAAATTGTAATTAAAATTGTTAAAAATTGTAATTAAAAATTATAACTAACAATTGTTATCAAGAATTATAATTAACAATTGTTGTAAATAATTAAAATTATGATTAACAATTGTAATTAAAAATCATAATTATTAATGTTATTATTATTACTGTTATTTAATATTATTAATTTTATTTGATTACTTAATAATTAATATTATTATTAATATTAATAATGACTATTATTTTGGATAATTATTATATTTTTGGTCACATAATGACTATTACTATCAATGCAGTTAAACAATTATTTTTTTTCCTATAAGCAAACTAATTGACAATAGCTTCAATAACAATTGAATTTAAATAAAAGTTTCTCAGAACAAAATGACTGTAATATAAATTAATAAAGGAAATAGATATTTAAATTGACGTTCAATGTTTAATTGAAAATAATATTGTGAAATAAAATATACAACGGAAGTTTCGTAAAAATGGTCTTTAGTACCAGGAAAAAATGATTTATTACCACTCGAACAAAAATTTGGTACCTGCTATTAATTTTTTCATTCAGAGAAAAAATTATTGTTTCCATTAAAAAGAAAAAGGGAAATTAACTTTTTATCAGAAGTTATATGTATGAATTAGAGAAATTTCCTTTTTGGTAACCAAAAAAAATTGTTTGTTTATTTATAAATATGGAAACAAATTCTTTGTGTTCAACAATTAACTATGAGCGATAAACAATTTACTGCAAATAAACAATTTATCGAAAATAATTAACAATTTAGGTACATATAAAATAATTATAAAATAAATATAAAATAAATATAAAATAAATAAATAATAATTAAATATAAAATAAATAACAAAATAAACAGAATTATTAAACATAATTATTAAAAACAATTAAAAAATTGGTAATAATAAAAATTTGTAAAATAATAATAAAAAATTAATAAATATTTCAAAAATAAAATTAGAACTATAGCAGTATTCCTTTCCAATTAAACGTCAATTAACGGTATTAAGAGTTTAATTAATAGGACATTAAATTATTATACGCTTCACAAACATAAAATTATTTTTCAAATTTAAATGATGACTAGAAAATCCACTTTTTATCGCATATCCGGAAAATTATTTAAATTAAATCCTCAACGTAACTGTCAATACACTTTAGATACCAATAACCATCACGATTTTCGCAACTAGATCAGACGGTACGGTTTTTATTATTAACGGTACCAGTAAATTAACACCAAAAAAAATTTTTTTTTCAATTAAAATCACTAGAAAAGGATGCAAAAAAAATTTTTTTCCAATTAAAATCATTAAAAAAAGATACAAAAAAAAATTGTTTTTAAATTAAAAACTATTAAAAAAGGATGCAAAATTTTTTTTTTTAAATTAATTTTAATTTTAAAAAAAATTTTAAAAAAGGATGCAAAAAAATAATCCACGCACCTCGAACTGTGAGATGAAGAAGGAGAATAAAACTCAGAGTCCTGATTCCTTGTAAACCCATTATACTATTGGCGAACACTCAAATAATTTATAGCACAAAACAAATAAACCCCGGGACTTCACACGTCCTTCCAATCACCCGCGCACTTTATTCTTCAGTAATTTGTCAAAATTAATTGTCTCTTCCTCTTTTTTATTCGAAAAACACTTGACCGATAAACGGTCATCCCGAGACGATCACTTTCGGATCGTCCAACATTGTAAGAGAAATTCTTTTTTTTTTTGGCAAATTTTGTGAATTAATTTTTTTGGGGAAAATTAATTTTTTATATTTTCTCTTCCCTTGTTTTTTTTTTTTTTTTGACGAAGAAAGTATAGAAAAAAAAAAAAATTTGTTCCGATTTAACGTTTAAGTGTTGTTCTTCATAGCGAAGACTGAACAAGACTGAAATCTCATGCTGCTGGCAGGAAGTCATCCAGGTGTTTCACTCCGGTCGGGTTTTGCCCCCACCTGCCCCCAAAGAGGATCCGCCGCCATCATCGCGCGGGACGACGAGGACTATCGCCACCCTGCACACAGCTTTTGCTAACTCGCCTACTTTCTCAGAATAAACTCTCTGCGTCAAGTGAATTTTATTGCTGACAAGTGCTCGGCCTTCCTATTGCCGTGCACCGAACGCCGATTACTTCCTTCTTTTCAATGATAAATCAGAGCAACGTCAATCGACCAAAAGAAGAGGGAAGAAAATTTTTTTTTTTTACTAAACATTACCAAGGGAGTGATTATAGTTTAATAATTTTACGAATGGAATAAATATAAACAAATAAAAAATCATTACACTGAAAAAAAAAATTATTGACTAAAACTATAATTTTAGTCAATAACTTATTTTTTTCATTTTCATTGACTAAAACTGTAGTTTTAGTTTTTAATTATCATTAGACTGAAAAAAAAAATTATTGACTAAAACTAGTTTTAGTCAATAATTTTTTTTCAGTGTAATAATTACTTAATTTGACAAATTAATTAATTATTATCAGTACACAGTGTCTACTAACCGGGAAATCCGGAAAAAAGCCGGGAATTTAATTTGAACATTAATAACCCAGGAATTTTATGCTAAACCGGAAATTTTTTCACCAAATTAAAAAAAGTTTTATTATTTTAATTTGTTTTTAAAAAATCGCTTTTTATTTCAATTTACTATAGATATTTATACTGTTTTCTAAATTTGAATTAGTTAAAAATAATTAATTTAATAGTAAAAAACAGTCACTGATTCAAATATAGTATGTAAATAAATTAAAAAAAAATTATCGAATTAATAGAAATTTTTTGAAATTCAACTGAAAATAATTAAATTTGTTAATATAAAGAATTTCCTTAAAAACTTTTTAAGAAATCGCATTTTCAAAATATTCTAATTTAATAATTGATAAATAATTGAATTTTATAAAGAGTCGCATTCTAATGTATTCATGTTTCTTAGTGCGAAGATTAACAATTAAAATTTTTATTAATGAATTTAAAAAAAGTTACACACTTAAAATTTTTTAATGAAATTGAATTTTTGCAAAGTTCTTTTGAAAATTCTAAAAAATAAGATTTTTGAAATTTTGTAATTCTATTGTTTCAAGATAATTGAATTTTTATAAACAGATAATTGAGAATTTTTTGAAATAATTGAAATTTCTTTACATTCTTTAAAAAATAATTAAATTTTTTAAAAGAGTTTTATTTAAATTTTTCGAAAATAATCAAGGGAAGCTAGTCACCGTAATTATAATTTTATTTTTGAAATTTTCTTCGCAATATATTCAATTATTTTCATAAACAGTAAAACTCATTGCAGAATTTCAATTATTTTTAATACAATTTTAATCGAATCCCTCGAAAATGTAATTATTCTTAAAAATTTTATTAAAATTCGTCAAAAGAATTCAATTATTTATAGAAATTGTAAAAAAAATTCTTGTCAATAATTCAATTATTTCTATAAATAGGAAAAATTTTTCAGATTTACTAAATTCTTTTGAATATTATTTTTAAAAGAATTCTTCTCAAGAATTTAATTATTTTCATTAATTTTCATAAAATTCTAAAAAACAATTTAATTATTTTCAAAAGTAATAAAATTCTTCGCAGAAATTCAATTATGTTTAAAAAATTTTTTAAATTCTCCTCCAAATTTCAATTATCTTTATAAATAATTAAAGTGTTCCCCACAATTTAATTATTTTCAAAAATTCTAAATTTCTAATAAAATTCTACTCAAACATTTAATTGTTTTCATAAATAATAACATTCTTTGGAAGGATTCAATTACTTTTATAAATAGTGAAATTAAATATTTACTTGAATCAAAGAATTTTTATTTGAGTCAATTAAATATTTATTTGAATCAATTATTTTTTATATTTTTTGAAAAAGTTATTTTTAAGAATTTTCAAATCAATTTGTTCACAATTCAATTTTACCAAAAATTTTGATTATTCTGGAATTCCTTAATTACATATATATATTAAAAATTAAAAACTTCAAATAATTTAAAAAAAATGCAATTAACAAAAAAATTAATTATTCTATCCTAGAATAATTGAATTCTTTTGATGGTTTTTATACAAAATTTTAAGAATAACTACCTTTTTCGAGGAATTCGATTGAAATTGTATTTGAAAATAATTAAAAGTCCTAAAAAGAATTTTATTATTTTTAAAAATAATTCAATTCTTTAGAAATATTTTCAATATTTATGAAAATAATTGAATTTTTGCGAAGAAATTTATAAAAAGTTTGCAAATAATTGAATTCCTGTGAAATTTTTATTATTTATAAAAATAATTAAATGTTTGCGTAGAAATTTATTAATTTTTTTTGGAAACTTTTATGAAAATAGTAGATATTGAAAATTTTTGAAAATAATTAAATTACTTTTGAAAATAATTGAATTTCCACAATCATTTGTAACTTTTCTAAAATTCAATTTTTTTTAGTATATTTAACTAAAATTCTTCTATTATTTTTAATAATTATTTTCATAAGAATTTAGAATTATTAAAATTTTTCAAAAATGTAAGTTCTTTAAAATTTCTAATTAAATTCATTCGAAATTAAAATTTTCTAAAATTTCAAATTGAAAGTACTTTTAATAAAAATCCCTGATTTTTTCCTGATTTTCCTGACCAATTCTACTTGCATACATTATTTTATTTTTCAGTTTAAATAAAAAAAGTGTATTCATTTTATATTTTAACAGAGTTTTTAAAGACACTGATAGATTAATCTGTATAAATAAATTAAATTTTAACAACACTGTGAATAGTGAAAATAATTAAGAAGAAAAATTTGAAGAAAATGAAAATAAAAAAACTTTTGAAAGAATGTTGAAAGAAGATGCGTGTTAGAATTTCGAAATAAAATATACTCGCGAGATAATTATATTAATTAAAGGGAAAAAATTTTAATATGTGTGTCCGTTTTGTAGTTTAAATTTAAAAAAAAAATATATATCTGATCTTTTTTATATTTTCTTTGTAAGAAAAAAATTAAACGTTCGTTTTGGAGTTTAAATGAAAAAAAATATGGTTTAAATTCAGAAAAACAAATATCTGATATTAATTTTTTTTTTAAATACCGTATAAACCTATTATTATAGAGAAGCATTATTTTATACATATAGAGTAGACATTTTCTGAAACATAAGTATAAGTTACAATTAGTAACTCATATAAGGAAGCTAGCCACGAGGGCTCGTCGATCCGGTTTTAGGGTGTCGCGGTTCGCTGATCATCGTGGGTTGCCTCTACGCTTCCTGTCAGTGTGCGCGATTATTCCCACTTTCTCATGTTTGTCTTTAAGAAAATAATATCAGACAAACATTTCTTTTCTTCTTTTTCATCATCTTCTTTTTTTCCTTCGCATTTGAAATGATAAATCTCTCTCTCTCTCTCTCTCTCTCTCTCTCTCTCTCTCTCTCTCTCTCTCTCTCTCTCTCTCTCTCTCTCTCTCTCTCTCTCTCTCTCCTCCTCTAAATATTGAAACTCGAATAAAAAAGAGAAATCTTCACGTACTGAATAATGATAAATATTTGCATAATCGTATAATCGTGATGATAATCATGATGATAATCATAGAATTGTGTTTGCATATTTGCGTATAGAAAAATTAAATGAAAAAGAAAGGGATTTGAACTTTTGACTTCAATTATTGTACAATAGAGGGATGAGTCTTTTATTTGACTTCAAAAAAAAAAAAAGAAGTTTGATCCACTTGCGCAAAATATGAATATCCTGAACAATAGATTATTGAAATTCATTTTTATTTTTTTGTTACTAAATAATGGAAGATTATTTACAATCTAATTATTTACAAAAATTATAACTAAATTATTTACTTGTAAATTATTCATTTCTGAATTTATTTACTAGTAAATTATTCCTCTCTGAATTTATTTACTAGTAAATTATTCCTTTCTGAATTTATTTACTAGTAAATTATTCCTCTCTGAATTTATTTACTAGTAATTTATTTTTTTCTGAATTTATTTACTAGTAAATTATTCCTCTCTGAATTTATTTACTAGTAAATTATTCCTTTCTGAATTTATTTACTAGTAAATTATTCCTCTCTGAATTTATTTACTAGTAAATTATTCCTCTCTGAATTTATTTACTAGTAAATTATTCCTCTCTGAATTTATTTAGGGGAATGTAGTCAAGGTTGGCCTACTGTCTAGGTAGGCCACTCGCGTTTTTTTGTCAAGTTCACTAGCGCCACCTACGCGCATTTTTGTCGAAGCTTGTCTTAGTGAAACCTAACTTTTTGTTCAATTACATTTTCGGAAAATCGAAAATTGTGTTTTCTGTGACGTCGGTACAAAAAAAGCTGAAAAAAAGTTTTGTGCATAATGTGAAAAACCATTAATAAAAGATAAAAAACAAATTGAATCGTCAAGGCAAGTATGCAGAAAATTTGTGGGACTCATGGTTGAAAGGAAAACAAAGTAAAAAATTGAATCCCGAAACGTATTTCTTTATGGTTACAACAATTCGGTAATGTTACTTACTGTCAAGGTCGGCCACTATGTGTTTAAAATGCGCAAAGTTGAGGACGAGCTACTTCATTTGCAAAAACTGCAATTCTGTATAACTCATAATATAATTGATCATCTTATTAATATTTTTATTTAATTTTATTAATATTTTAGTGCAAAACTTTTTTTTATTTATATTTATTTTTTTATATTGTTTATTGTTATTATTTTGTTATTTCATTAAGTTACAAACTGTAAACAATAAAGAATCAATTTTCCGTAACTCCAAACATGTTATTTTATTTTTTAACGATTAATGCCCTTTGAATTTTAAACATGGCCGACCTTGACTGTAATGGCCAACCTGGACTACAAATTTTTTTTTTTTTAAATCTTTATAACTTTTTCATTTTTAAACCTGTCAATTTACTTTGTACAGAAAAAATGTTCCTATTAAACAGGACTTTCCAACCATATACTTCAATTGTCCAAATTCATTTTTAAAAAAAAGTTATAAACAAAAGTCAAAAAGGTGGCCGACCTAGACTA